GAGACAAGCAAGGTGAATATACATGCATTACACACAATGGTGCCAGTACTGTGGACTATATGATAGCTTCCCCTAGCCTCATTCCATGTATATCTGACTTTGGAGTAGGTGAGCGAGATGAGTCAAATCACTTCCCAGTGTTTTGCAGGTTTAATTTTGCTCATAATGATTGCAGTAATGTACAAGTCAACAAGTACAATGATGATTCTCTGCTTAGTGAACTTGAAGTTAATCCCTGGTACAAATACCCATGGAAGGAAGATAATAAAGATGTCTTTAAATCCAAGTTTAAAGACTTGTATGACCTCCTCAAAGATGAAATTGAACAGATAATTTTCAACAGATGTTGATACTGCACTCTGTCGACTTGTGAATGTCTACCAAGAAGCATCATCTATAAACAAGAGACTTTACTGTTTTCCTTCAACCCATAATAAATCTAGACAGATCAGTCAACCACTTTGTTGGGACTGTGAACTTTAAAACTTAAAGAATGAAAAATACTGTGCCCTGAGAGGACATAGAGACTATTGTTTAGATATTAGTGTGTTCAGGGAGTTGCGATCTAAACTCAAGAAAACATTTGCACTTAAAAGACAATCTTATCAAAATCAACAGCAACAAAAACTAATTGAATCAAGAGCTAATCCTAAATGATTCTGGAAATTGTTAAAGCAAGGGAGACAATCACAATTGCTAGTTGGAATTAGAACTGATGAATGGATGAAGCACTTTTCTTCCCTCCTCCACTCAGAACATAAACCCATCTTACCTCCACCAATGGACACAGATAATTATGTAACTGATGATACCCCGGTACATGAAGAATTAAATCAACCTATAACAAATCAAGAAGTTGAACAACATATCCAAAAGCTTGCAAATAATAAATCGCCAGAACCTGATGGTCTCTGAATATTTCAAGAATACAAAAAATATAATTTTACCTACATTGACTGCTCTCTTTAATGAAATACTTGACAATGGTGTGTTTCCAAATGCTTGGACAAGAAGTATCATTTGCCCTCTTTTTAAGTCTGGAGACGAGCATGATGTAAACAACTGCAGGGGAATATCCTTGATTGATAACTAGTGTAAAATATTTACCTCTATCATAAACTGGAGACTTAAGAATTTTTGTGAGAAAAGTAACATAATTGATGAACTACAAGCAGGATTTAGGTCCAATTATTCAACTATTGACAACATTTTTAGTCTGCAGGCAATGACTCAAAATATGCAGGGAGAAGAAAGGGGAGATTTTACTGACTCTTTGTTGACTTTTCAAAGGCATTTGACACCATAAGACATGATAATCTACTGAAAAGCATACATGATGTTGGGATCAAGGGTAAACTGTCCAACATAACTTCATCAATGTATTCAAGTCTGTGTGCTTGTGTAAGGGCTTCAACTGGACTAACTGATTATTTTGAATGTAATATTGGCACCCGGCAGAGCTGTATTTTGAGTCCACAACTATTTATGATATTCATAAACAAGCTTTTCATTCAACTTGAAGACTGCGGAGGAGAAGGTGTTTTTATATCACAAGATTTTAAAAATGTTTCTGCCATAATGTTTGCAGATGATGTTTCACCTGTATCATATTCAGCAGTTCAACTACAAAAGAAAATTGATGCTCTACACTTATTCTGTTTACAAACTGGTATGAAAGTCAATCTGAAGCAGACAAAAGTAATGGTATTTAGAAATGGTGGTCCCCTAAGAAGTTGTGAAAAGTGGTCATATAATGGTGAAAGCATTGATGTTGTTCCATTTTACAGATATTTAGGAATTATGTTCACCCCCAAACTTGTGTGGACCCAGGCTCAAACATGTTTAGCTGCTCAGAATCCCAAAGCTGTGTTTGCCATAAATAGATATCAGAAGAAACTTGGTGATATTCCATGCAAATATTTATTCAAAATTATTGATAGTATTGTAACTCCTATCCTGTGCTATGGCTCTGAAATCTGGGATGTTAATTACAGCAAAATCATTGAGGATATTCAAGTTTAGGTGTGCAAATCAGTTCTTAAAGTGTCAAGAAATACATGTAATGTGATGGTGCTTGGTGAGTGTGGTAGAGCTCCTTTACAGCTTACATATATATGACAAGAGCTGTGAAGTACTGGTGCAGGCTGATACAACTGAGCCCGGAGAGACTACCATATATCAGTGTTACAAGATGCTAGCTGTTCTGGATGATTCAGGTCGCACCACCTGGTTGCACACACATTACAAATATTTTATTCAGATTTGGATTTGGATATGCATGGATAGCACAAGAAGTTTGGGATAAAATTGTTTTTATTTCCATGTTTAAACAGAGACTATTTGACAACTTGCAGCAAACCTGGAGTGTAAATGTGAACAGTTTATCGGACTCTTATTCCTATAAACATCGCTACTAAATGTTGAATATTACTTAAATTCACCACTTCCATCTCACTTCAAAAGGATTTTAAGTAACTTTCCAATAGCAGTAAATACTGGAAGATACCATGCCTAACCATATGAAGAAAGACTTCTTATTAATTTGTGAATGCTACAGCTCCCTTCGTAATGCACTTTTAGATAATTATATTACCTCTAACCTTCAGCATACCTTTATCTCTATTATTTCCTCAGATGCATATGATACCTTATATAAAATATCTATTTTCTTACCAAAGCTCATCAACTTAGGGTAAATAGTAAATAATCCACTGTGAATTTATAAGTATAAAAAAAAATTAAAAAATGTAAATTTTCCCAGTTTGTAAATATGTCATTTTGCGCAGGCTTTATGTATTCCTGCATATGTATGTATTTTGGGCCAGTGGCCTTTTATTGAATAAATTGTCTGTGTGTCTGTCTGTCTGTCTGTCTGTCTGTCTGCCATACATTCAATGCAAAAAATAGCCTGCCGTAAATGACGAAAACTGATTTTTCTCTATGACGTCAAAAGGCGACAGAGAGGTTACACACGAAAAAAGAAAAGGGGGCATAACTCAGCTATGCTTAGCTCCAGTTTATTTAAACTCAGGTCACTTGGTGAGAATCAGCTGTGGGTAAGGACAGTATATTTTCGTGGTATTTTGTTCACGAGTAACCAAACTTTTCCAACACAAATATCGATATTGAAACTGTATACTCCCTTATATTACCGTAAGAAATGATGAAACTTACTTAATAAAAAAAGAAGTAATAGCGAAATGAATGGCCCTATCTAAGCTGTTACTTAGTCCTTAGATTACAACATTCTTCTGACTGTGCAAGTGTAATTTGGCTTATGTTGCACCATTATTAATGGAGTACTAGTCTTGTGATCAAATGTAATGAAATACTAAAAACATGACACCGTTCTATTTGATGTCATGGCTGGTTTTATATCTTTTGACAGCGTCGGAGAAAGACGACACTGGTATTTTGATTAATATATATTAACCTCCCCTAATTACTTTTTTACAATTCTTGGAGAAAGAAAGTAAACAGTTTAATACCCTGTGATCACAATATTTAGAAAAAGATGAACATTTTGATTATATAAAGCAAAACGAGAGGAACAATTCGTAAATCGTTTGTGACAACGCCACCTGCGAATCGTTAGATATCACTGTTATGTTTATAAAAACGACCTAAAAAAACTATTCCAAGACCAAGACAATTCTCCTGGAAATGTGTGCGTATATTTTAACGCAAAATATCCATTTTGTTATAGTAATATATTCAGTTTTAGTTTTAAAATAAAATGAAACGGCTATTCATGGAAGTTGTTTATATGAACTTATAATATTGACTTTGACACTCCCAAGAAATTTCTGTTGAAAATATCAAATCATAGCAATGTATTTATTTTTAATTCCCTAATTTTTCCTAATTCTCTTCCCATGTATATTCTGAACGAATAGACGAATGGATAGCTAAAAAAGGGGAACATGCTATACTGTAAAATATGTATTTTGCTTTGTTTACATTTCAAACAAGTGCAGTTTTTCGAGCACAGCGTTGTTTTCACACCTAACTTATTTTGCTTGATTTGATCTCGGCACTTTGTATTGGTGACAGAGACCATGTGTCATTTGATTCTAAAATGTATGAGGAATTCAAGGATGTATGTATCACAGCTGAGTTTGAAATACGCGTAATGTTACAGGCGTCTCATTACCGGTAGGCTACATGTGAAATGTGATTTTGTAATCACTATCTAATATGGCGGAAAGTTCACAGTATACAAAACTGTGAAGTGTATCTGCGTGTCTGATGTATTTGAATTTTATTCGACTTCAAAGTGAGGTTTGAAGAGGAGGGACATATATATCCCTCTGGCATCCTGTCCCTGAGGGTGAAAACAACAACAAATAACTAAAACCCTATCTATAGCCCTGAATTCATCTGGGAATCTGGTCAGTGGTAAGACGAGAGTGTAAAGAAGGTGTCAAGCGCAGGGAAGTAGCTTGATTGAAATGGTGAAATGGGAGAGAGAAAATAAATATCTCGCCAATCAGAAATATTTATTTTTAAATTTCAGCAGCAATAATATACAACACATCTCCATTTGTTAATCTATATCGCCCACATGAGGCCTGTGCTGTACTTGCATATGTCGCGAAGCCAGCATTGTGCCGCCCTGGGAATTACCGATATCGTATTTAGCAGAGAAAACAAGACAGCTTTAGTGTTTAGACCTAAGCTGGAATGCCGTGACGTCATCGACAGTGTGACGTCACTGTCATTGTACATTTGGCGCCACGTCAGCTGGGCGAACCTCGCCTCGGTCTGAGGTCACCGAGTGCAGCGAGATGTAAACAAACAGTTTTTTTTGTGTTTTTCACTATTAATTACAAACTTATTGCATAAAATTAACACAGAAATATATGACGGCATGCATGAACATATCACGAGGTGCGGTGCTTACATACCAATCACACATCATCTCTATTTACACTCAGTTAACAATTTTCTTACCTGATCATGAGAACTTCCAAACACAACAAAAGACAAAATGTCTGACAAAGTTTTTACAAGTTTTATTCATCTCCAAACACAACAAACAGTTTCACGTAAATAAAGACATATTTATACACGGCGACGTGAACGGCACACCACGTCACTGTCACGTCACCTCCACCGTCCACACAAACACGACTCTGACGTCACTGAGCGCCGCGGGACACGAGGAGATCCAACACTCGCGTATATCCCCCGCGTCTCGCCAGGTCGGCCGCCGTCCGCCCGTCGTTGTCCCTGGCGTCGATGTCCACCACGTGCAGAGACAGCACAAACTTCACCGTCTCCAAGTGTCCTTCATAACAGGCGTAGTGAAGGATGTTGTTACCGTTCCTGTCCACCAGTGACACATCGGCCCCTTCACTCACCAGGAGCTCCACCACGTCTCTGTGTCCCCTGTATGCTGCCCTCATCACCGGTGTCCAGCCCCACCTCCTACAGTTGACGTCCACGCCCTGAGACAGGATCCGCTTCACCTCCTCCAGGTTCCCGGCATAGCAGGCGTCATAGAGGTCCCAGCAGTCTGCTGGTGATGGAGTCGCTGTAACACAAAGTAAACTCTGTACACTTCCAGACATCTTCGTCATACATCTACATGGTTCACACCTCAACGTGGTGACACGTGACACGGTACATCATCAACCACTTCCAACATGGCTGACAACACAAGGATCAAGGGGAAGGACGACAGCTGGTTCATGTAATCAAGGATTATGTGGTCAATGTTTAGAATCTTTCTGTCACATCCAGTTGTTGTAACATTATTCTGTGTGTGTGTCAACGTTTGATGAACTGAGCTTTATGAGATGATACTGTCAGTACAGTTGCTGTTTGGAAATAGTAGATAGATCTTATAAGACATGACATTGGAGTATGTCAGTCTGTTTGTTTGTTTGTTGTTTTACGCCGCACTCAGCAGTAGTCCAGCAATAAGATGGCGGAGTCTGGTACAGACAGACAGTCCAGTGGTTGACAACATGAGCACCGATCGACACAACTGGGCTACGATGACATGCAAGACGCAAGTCAGAACCCTCACGGGTCTATACCCCAGCTTGTTAATTGTTGGAGGGATTACAGTGTGGGCTTTCTACCTGCTGGGTTCTCCCACCTACCCTGTGTAGCAGGCTTTTTTGTGGTCGTCACTGGTGTACTCGCTGTCTGACTCGGGTCGCTCGAGGCTGAAACACAGAACATGCTGTTCAGAAAACAATACAAACTAAATAAGCATTATACATATCAGATATTCGACAAAGTTTGTGTTTTTAAAATTTTGACTAATGAATACAATTTCAAAACCATTCATCTTAGTAGAGGTATAAATATAAGGTCCTCTAGCGACTAACAAATCACTCAAACGACTAGATTCTATCATAAATACGACACAAACATTGGGATTGCTGTTCATCTGAGCCGCGCGTCTGTACAGGCTTGTTGGATTGAGCCTTATGGTGGTACTGGCAATACAATTGACTTGTTACAAATTTTTGGGATAATAAGAGACTACATTTATCAGCTTGTTATTGTAGAGACTGTTCATATGAAGGTTTTTGGAGTTAACTTTCAGGCTTATATTTGTTACATGTTGATGTGACCTCATCTCGTACAAAGTTGGACAGTGACAGTATCTACCATCTGCTGGGTTCTCCCACCTACCATGGGTCGTCACTGTCGTCATCTGTGCAGCCCTTTCTCCCTGACTCAAGTCGTTCGAGGCTGAAACACAAAATATGCTGTTCAGTTGGGTTGGGTGAGTTGGGTTTTACAGGTTCTTAGCAATATTCCAACAATTTCTGGGCGGGCAACACTAGACATGGGCTTCGCACATTGTACCCATGTGGGGGAATCGATCCCGGTTTTTTCGCGCGAAGAGCGAATGCTTTAACCACTAGGCTACCCACCACCCAAAACCCCCATATATGCTGTTCAGAAAACTATATATTGCAGGTAAACATTATAACTACTGGCCTCAGGGAAGCTTTTGCCTTCAACAAATCTGTCACTTTCAAATTTATTCACTCATGAACATAACTTATAATACATTTGTTGCAGTAGAGGTATTATTAATATACCATAGCATGGTGACTGACACATTTTGGAAATCACTTATATCTATTAGATTTAGATTGCTTTTATTTATTTAATCACTTCCTGAATAAACCTAAGCTGCACACTGCCTCTGTGCTAACTGCTGAGATATATCTCTTCTCTTGGTTGAAGTTGCAGGAACTGAATAGATTATTTTGTTGTCATAAATAATATAATCATACAACATACAACATAAATGAACATTACTACATCAGCGATAGAAATTGGCACTCGTCCTATATTCCTTGCCAAACATCCCAATAGTTCAGATATCATAAGGACTAGGCTAGTAGCCATGTCATTTTTAGGGTTTTATATGTTACCATTATGAGGACTAAGGACTAAACATGTAAGTTTATATTGCTGTACACAGAATACACAGAATATGTGCATTTATTATTTTGGAACTTTACAACATGGTATTACATCAGCTACCTACCCTTAATTCCCAATTATGGAATGATTAGTATTTTAGTCTGACTTCGTTAGTTGTGGGTGGAATCGTTATGACAATGAAATGGTCCCCGCAAGTTGGTGCGTTGTTGCATAATATCTGCATTTGAGTATCAATACTGTGAATAGCAAACCTACTTCGTTCATACAGGTCAAATACTGAATATTGTTTTCTAATTTGCATTGCCTGCTATGTTATTACTGTATATTTAAATTATACTTAGGTATTTGTTGTGAGTGAGAATCAATGCACATCGTTATATATATTTTGACCAGGATATGACACCCACCAGTGTAATTCTGGAGGAAAATATATTTCTCGTGCATTTCAACGTCTGTGGACAATGTGCATTTTACACAATTGTTACATCGTCAAATCGACAACTGTCTTGATGGTTTCTCTGTGTACATATTGCCTTTGCCAATTGATGATAACAGGCTACTAAATGTAGAGTGCTGCGACCTATCGTAAATTATTTGTTGTTCCAAGTGACTTTGCTTGATGTTTTAGTCCCCACCCTCCCCAATAACTAGACTCTGAAACTGGTGCATTTTACGTCGTTTGGTGTCTCGGGCTACACAGTATTACAAACGTCGATACACGACATGCTACAGAATAATATTTCAGTGATGACATTTTCATGATGATATACAATGGGGCATACAATGAATGTAAAGGAGCAACTAAACAGGTCTACTTGACTAAGCGCGTGTGCAACACAGTGGTAATTCAGTGTCAGGAAAACTCTTTGCAACACTGTCATAATTCAGCATTCCGAGCGATGGCGGCAGTACACCCGTCACAGATCAGCTTACTATCTGAGGCAGAAACTGTCGCCGGCACTACAAGATGTTTGATACGGTGTTTGGTTGTGAAAAGAAGGGAATAAACATGTGGCTCTATAAAGTGATAAGACTGAAATGCCGATTGCCCGTGTGACATGCGCCAAATTGTTTTCGCATTTAACGTCCGTTCTAACTTACTCATACAATAACGAGAATCATGCACATTTGCCCTTATATATTCTACATTTCCTTGCCGTTCTTTAAAAACAATGTAGTGTCCTGCAGATATACAATTGTTCCACATAATATTTTCCGGATTAGAAGAACGAAGCTGCACGTCTTGAGTGTAAAAATGCTATGGCTGACACAGTTGGCCATTCTATGATGCAGAACAACGTTTTAATATGAGCGAAAAAACGCATCCCACACATGACTGAACAGATCTAGAAAAATCTCAAATTGTCTTCAGTCTCAGTTGTAAATAATTCTTATTAGTTCAGAGATGAAACGTACAAGCATATATTTTGCAATATAGATCTACTGATTAAAACAGAACAAGCTTTTCAGTGGAAACGAGGTATGAATGTTTACATCCAGACGTTTGTTATCCCTGGTGACAGGCTAAACAAACGTCTGGGTGTAAACATTGTGTGAAGCACAGGACCATGTAACAATAAAATATAATAAAACTCGCAAAAAAATCATAGACGAGGCTAATTATATTTTTATTGTTACATGGTCCTGTGTGTGAAGCAAGCACCCGATTCCTTCAATATGTATTCTGTTGTACATCAATCTTGGTATATTTACAATGTTAGTTTCATTTAATTTCCTAACAAAATCCTGAAGTACAAACTGAAAACTTACCCACCGTTTACGTCCTAACACGAGTGACACATCTCACTGCCAGTCAAGAAACGCCTTGACCAGCGAAGGGGCGAGTTATGACGTCAGTGTGACGTGTCTGGTTAGGAGCATGGCATAGTTTGGCGCTCGACTGCTTGTGCCGATCACGTTAAGATAATACAGTGTGGAGTGATACTAGATCTACAAGTCTTACTACCGTCTTACCTTATTTCGTTTCAGATTGTATGTTGAGGTAACAAATTAAGCCTACTTCATTGATTAAAGAAATCTACCTCATCATCGTGCGTAAAATATGTCTTTATTTTTATTCTAAGATGCTTTGCTAAAAGATCAAAGGCACCGACTATACTTTATCCTGCGACAAAGCATTGTGTCCGCGTGAAGATCAGTGGTAGAATAGGTCTTGAGCAACCCATGCTTGCCGTAAATGGTGAGATATGCCTGTCGTAAGAGGCGACTAACGGGATCAGGTGGTCAGGCCCGTTTACTTGGTTGATGCAAGTCTTCGATCCCAATTAATTGCGTGGATCGATGTTCATGATATTAATCACTGGATTGTCTGATCCAGTTTCGATTATTTACAGACCGCCGTCATTTAGCTGGAATATTGCTGAGTGCGGCGTAAAACAACAAACGAACCAAACTAATCGGCGACAGCAGTCACAAAATTGTTCCGGTGCCCTATAAATTAATTATATATATGTCTTCAGCATGGATCGATGCTCATGATATCAATCCATTGTTTTTCAAGGTGTTGACTCGATTATTTACAGACCACCGTCATATAGCCGCTGTTATAAAAAAATTTTTTTTCAAAATCCTACGTTTTTCTGCATGTTTTTTTTTTTAATATCAACACACTGGACGGATAAGTGAGTGAGTGAGTGAATATGGTTTTACGCCGCTTTTATCAATATTCCATTAATATCACGGCGGGGGACACCAGAAATGGGCTTCACACATTGTACCCATGTCGGGAATCGAACCCGGGTCTTCGGCGTGACGAGCGAACGCTTTAACCACTAGGCTACCCGACCGCCCCTGGACGGATAAGAAAATAGGACCTATTATAATAAACTAATCATTTTAGTCGTGTTGTATTATATTTTTAACATAAATATGTCTCTGAGCGTGAGGGTATACAGGCAATCAAGTGGACCAGCCCGTCAGTTAGCCTGTTGGAGGATTTTCAATTTACCGCATGTTAATACAGATTTTATTTTAAACCTATCTCCAAGACAAAAAAATGATCATTTTTTTAATTCTGCATCTGAGAGTAATTAATAAAGTTTGCTCTCGCCGCACGTATAGTGTAATCAAGTATAGTTTTGCCCTGAACTATTATAATGTCAAAGCAACGCAAGCGTCCTCATGCTTTAACTATAAGGGCAACACTATACTTTTCATCGGGGTAGAGCAAACTTTATTTTTAACTAAAACTCAACAGTGTGATTAAATGACGTTTTAAGATAAATTAACAGTAGGCAAGGTAACAACAAGTACCTACTTTTAACGTCTTTGAGAATGCTTAGATGCAAGTTTCTTTACCTAATTCTTTTTCCAGATAGACGTGTGAGATATTAAAAGGTGACATTCTCAAAATCTCCATTGGCTTTTACCATACTAGTACTAGAGGTCGGAAGGTCCGGCGTTCGATCCCCGGCCGCGCCATACAAAAAAACGTTTAAAGATCATACTTGTTGTTACCCAGTTTGGCGCTCTCGGCATAAACTGGCTAAAACAAGGACTGGTCGGCTCGAAGTCAGTATACTGTGTCTGAGTGGAGTATTCATGGTAAACTGCAGCATGGTATCTCAGTGTGCTAGCACTAATAATCGGCATCAGTCCGGAATAGTACAAGCAGCCACACACATATATACTGAACCAAATTTTAAACTTCACAATCCTAAAATTTTAACATCTTGACCAGTTATCATTGTGGGCCCTTATTGTGTATTAAACAGTAATGGCCACGTACTGTCTTCAGATAACACCCGTTTTTTGTGCAGGTGAATCGACCAAAATCGTTTTTTCAGCCATACTTGTTAACAGTCATTAACAAAAATAGAAAAACACAAGAAAACAAAAGTCTTTACGGCCATTTGTCATGCCAAGCCTTTCAAATGTGCAACGAGAACGTGCCATCGGCAGGTTGCAGACAGAAACGTCCGTAGCTGAAGTCGCAAGGACGATGGGTTGTAGACTGTTTATGATTTACAGACGCGTCTGCAGCAAACAAGTACAACCGCAGATCGCACCCGGCCAGGTCGACCACGTGTGACGTCACATGCAAAAGATCGTCAGATTGTCTTACGTCACCTCCGTAACCGATTTTTGACGGCTACATCAACCAGAAATGAACTGTTTAAGGGTAGACTCAGTGCGCAAACTGTTCGAAACCGTTTGAGAACTGCTCACCTTCAAGCACGACGGCTATACTGCGGGCCGAGTCTGACTCAATTACACTGATGTCAACGTCAATTGTGGGCACAGCGACACTTACGGTGGACTCAGAGGAATTG